AATTGAGTGAAGGTTAACAGACAAAATCATCAGCTTTAACCTCAACCAATCATATGTTTTGCTTCATCTCAGTGATTACACTCCCCTCCCTGCAACAACAGTCATCTTGGCTCCTCCCTATGGCTTTCCTTTTACATCGTATTTTTCACAAATCAAAAAAGTAAAAATATTTGATGTACACATACAAAACAAAAATATATATTCATTTAAATGTCCAAAGGGCACATTTTGCAAGACTGCCTCCTGCACACAGACACACAGCCTTTCTCAGTGCATGGGCTTAGAGTCCGCAGCTGCTCTACCTGTCCATACCATCACATCTGCCACCATTTCTGCATCGCTGCTCCCTTAGGTAGGATCTCATGTTCTTCTTATGCTCTGCCTTCTTGATGGTCCTGGGAGCCTGTGTTCCTGAAATGAAAGATTAACTATGCCCCAGTTTTAGTTACACATATTTTACAATTATAGTGGTCAATCGCAATTAATCCTGCTAACAGTTACTTACAATTGAATCCTAAAATCCTATCAGCATTATCCCCTATCTCCTTTTACTTGATCCATCTGGAAAAAAGGAAAACGCTTCAGTGGGAATTCTACCTTACCCTCCTTGTTCTGAAACTAAACACACTGATAAAACTTGTGCCTTTATGTTGTTGTTTAAGTGCCATCGAGTCTACTCTGACCCATAGCGACCCTGTATAGGGTTTTCAAGGAGCAGCTGGTGAGCTTGAACCACCAACCTTGTAGTTCAAACGGCTTTGCAGTCTGGTGCATTAACCCACAGCGTCACACCAGGACTTCTGTGCCTTTATAGCCCCCCATTTTTTATAGCCAATGTCTCAATTGCCCATCCCTATCAACCCAGTGCACTGAGGAAACAAACATGATCCCCGATGTGAAGAATCCTTTCATTTTGGTTGGATGCAACTGCATCCATAAGCAAAGCTCCAGTTCATCAAATTGTAGGAATATACACTTGATCACAGTATAAAGCATCTTTATCTTCATTTAGTCCAGTTTTGGTCAGCTAGCCATCCAAGCTAGGTCAAATGGGTACTAACTGCAAGTTTGGGAGTTCATGCATGCTTCCCTGCACTTCAGACCAGCTGGCCACTTCTTTTTCAGCTCTAGCTTCCAGTGGCTAGATCAGTGTCCTTGGGCTGAGGAGTTCATACATCTTGCTAAATTTCAGAACAGCCAGCCCTTCCTCTTCACTCTCTCATCTCAAGGTCAACAGGTATCAATGGAACGTGGCCAAACTCAGCCCATATCTTCATTGCTGCATTTCCCCCACTTCCTCTCACAAGTTGACCCAGGTGGTCACCAGTAAGCATACTAGACTGCTTATGGGTACCCTGTGAGTTTCAGTCTTAGAAGGGGGTTTTTCTTGATGGGCTGACTTTTCTTGACTTGTTGCCCATTATCTTTTAATTCCATGAACTTTTAAAAGCCTCTTTATATATTTCAATTAAATCAGAATTTGCTGGCATCAATTCACATGAGTGGCTCCTAGAAATTTAGAGCTAGATCGTACAGTCTAACATTCTTCTCAGTGTTTCATTATTAGGAAACTAAAGCTGAAAGACATGAACTGATCTACAAAAAGCTGTTTAAGTCATAAATTTTGGAATATGATCATTTGGAGACTACATTTGTTAAAACACACAGTCAGAAAAAACCCTAAACACCAAATCCTCTGTTGTCGAGTCGATTCCTGCTCACAGTGTCCCTATAGGCCAAAGTATATCAGCTTCACATCTTTACAGGCTATACATGTTTTTTTTTTTAATTTCCCCAAACCAGAAGTCTCACATATTGATTAGCCAACCTCTTTAAATGTGGAAGTATACAAATAAAGAAAGAAACCAGAAGTTGTGCAAAGCATGTTCAATTGATCAAATCTTGGCATTTGAACTGGCTATGGTAGAGTGCTAGGACCTGGGTACATTACGTGCTGCGTCATCACATGTGCGACTCCTTAGAGACTGAGCTTGGTTCTTCCCCAGTGTTTTCTCTTGGAGTTGTATCTGATTTTATGACCAGTTTTCATTCGAATCCACTGGGGAATGGGACGGTTCTGCTTTTGTTTCTTGGCCAGGGACCTCTGGATCCTGAAAGTCTTATGAGAAGACACAGTGAAAATGGAGCGTAGCAACAGTCACGTGATGGTGAAGAAAGGAAGAGCTAGGCTATACATCTTCAGAGACGCAGACTGCCACAGCTTTTGCCCTCAGTGTGAGTGCCAACCTTTCAGTTAGCAATCTAGTACTTAACCCACTGTGCCAGCAGATCACTCTACAGTAAGAAAACAAGGTCTGAAATAACTAAAGCTGGTGAGAGACATAATCCTATCAGACTGAGAAAAGTATTATCTGGAGTGACTGGTAAGAGTTCAAATTGTACTTTGCCCAATCCAGGCACACTTCTCTATACAATATCAGTGGAAGCACTAGGGTACAGAAAGAACCCTTTGAAATCATGGCTGAGTTCCCCTACTA